TGCAGAGAAGGTGCAGAGAAAGATCAGCTCTAACATGAGAGGTCCACTCAAGGCTGATAACAGCGGGGAAGAAGCTGTTCTTGAATCTGCTGGATTTCTGAAGAAGGGTCTAGGCCCGAAACGTCAGCTTTCCTGCTCCTCTGATGCTGCCTGGCCTGCTGTGTTCATCCAGCTCTACACCTTGTTATCTCAGATTCTCCAGCATCGGCAGTTCCTACTATCCCTGAATCTGTTGGTATGTGTTTTCAAACTTTTGTGTATTCTGCCCAATGGAAAAGGCTGGAAGGAGTATAACCGGGACAATGAGCTCGGATGGGTTATACTGCACATTCGTGTCTTCAGGATCTGCTTGCTCTGGCTCTTTGACTGGTTGGACAGCAATGATTTATTTCTAAACATTTCTAACTTCCTGGAACTAATTGAACTCCTGCTATTTTAAGGATGTTAAGATCGAGGTATATACAGCCTCAAAAGAGAAGTGTTGACTGTGAATTATGTAAACATTTTCAATTCTCTTACACTGTTTTTGTGTTGTAGTGTTACTTGTAGCAAACCCATATTCTTGAGAAAAAAACCAAAAGAACTGCGGATGCTGTAAATCAGGAACAAAAACAAAGTTGCTGGAAAAGCTCAGCAGGTCTGGCAGCATCTGTGACGGAGAAAACAGAGTTAACGTTTGGGGTCCAGTGACCCTTCCTCAGAACTGATGGTGGCTGGGAAAACGTCAGTTTATATGCAGAAAATAGGGAGGTGGGTGGGGTAGGGAGTAAACAATAGGATAGGGCCCAAAGAGAGAGAAAGACAGTTGGACAAACAAAGGAGTTGCTAACAATCAGGCTGGGAGGGTGAATAGTTGTTAATGGGGACTGTTAGTGACTAACAACAGGGGGTGTGTTACCACATAGCTTGCCACTACATACCCATTGTTGTCACTGTGAGCTCTAACATAGCAATTGCATGGCTGATCACCACATTGCATGTTGGTGGCTTGTGCTTTTGTTAATATGCTGCTACCAGACCTACCCGTTCTGAGGAAGGGTCACTGGACCCAAATCATTAACTGTGATTTCTCTCCACAGGTGCTGCCAGACCTGCTGAGTTTTTCCAGCAGTTTCTGATTTTGTTTCTGATTTTCAGCACCCACAGTTCTTTCAGTTTCTATTCTGCTGCCATGCCTCCTTTACAGTGATTGTAGCCAACCTGTTCAGACATATTATGGCACCTATTTGGCGTAGGAGGGTCTTGACCCTGAGCGTCCTGGTTCAGACGTCTGGATGCTACTATTCCACCACAAGAACCCTCATGCTTCCTTTACATGCTGGGACTAAGAGCCTATTGAACTAATGAGTGGTAAAGGATAAACCCATAGGGAGTCTGAACAAGAAGAGGCACTTATCTTACACAATGCATGATAATGATGAGTGCAAGTTGCATTGACTCATTTGGCACAACTATAAAGACTAGCAAGAACCAGGGATGTAACATTGTCTCCATTGAGATCTCATTCCAGAATCTTCCTTCACACAAGTATCACAATGTCCTTTAAGGAATCCCTACCTGGTCTGGCCTACATGTTACTCTAGATCTACAGCAAAGTGGTTGGCTCTCAACTGCCCACTGGGAAATTAGGAATGGGCAATAAATGCTAGCCTGGATATATTCCACGAATGATAAAGAAAATCACAAGATTAGATGCAGCTCCATGTAATTTCAATAGTAACACTTTCAGGCCAATTACTTTATACAACAAGCATTGCCAATGGGAATGCTGTCTGACATCAGACACACTTGGAATGTGAAAGTGGAACAGAGATGTGTACAGACCATTCCATGTGAAGGTTTATGGGGTTGGTCTGATAAGAGCAGATTGGCCATTGCTGCAGCCCACTCCCAGTTGTGTGCCTATTCAATTTTGGTGCAATTTTAGCACCTTCTTAAGTTTTTCTTTCTCTGAATATTTGCCATGCTGTCATTCTTTTGATGCGTGAGAACTTATTGAGATGGATATTAACAAGCCAGCTAAGTGCATCTATCAATTTAATCTCAAAACCACAACAGCTCAATCCATCTGAGTAACTGAGACAAGCGTCAGAGATGAAACCACAGAAATATTATCAATGGTAGGCTCACAATCAATTAGAGATTTAATGTTAAAATGTGTAAAATACTCCATTTTGATTGAGCAGTTAGATACCGTGGAAAAATATACAACTTAGAGAAATGCAGCAATTGAAAAATGTAAGATGTGAGAAGAGCAGGGAGTGGGGAAGAATTGTTAAAGACAGAAACGCTGGAAGGTTTCATATATGGAATATAGAAGGAATCACCAGAAGCTTTATCTGCTTCACTGGTTGGATTGGTGGCAGCTTCTCTGAGGTACAATGGCCTGCCTTTGTTGTAATATCTTTTATAAATGAAACAAACTGAAGTGATGAGTTGCTGAGAGGGAACAAAATGCCATGAAGTCAACCTGACAAATCTAACTGAAATAGATCATCTCAGAAAGCTGGAAAGCACACATCCTACAACTGTCCTCAGGACCCCAGGATCAGGAATATGCAAATTGACTACAGTTCTCACTTTCAATTGATATCCAATCTCAGTATCCCACCCCCACTTTCTCCCATACCCCTTGATCCCTTTAGCTACAAGGACCAGCTCCCTCTTGAATATATCTAATGAATTGGCCCCAACAACTTCCTGTGGGAGAGAATTCCACAGGTTCACAACTCTCTGAGTGAAGAAATTATTCCTCATCTCAGTCCTGAATGGCTTACCCCTTATTTGTAGACTGTGACCCTTAGTTCTGGAACTGGTTTGGAATTAGGAGCACTTTTTTTTTGGGTTTACGTTAGTGAACTGGATCTAGGTGTACCAAGCACAATTTCACAACTTGTCAATGACACAAAAGTCAGAAATGTGGTTAAAAAGTAAAGTGGAGATTGGCAGTCTCCACGAGGAGTGCAACAGTCCAGTGAAATGGGCTGCTGCATGGCCAATGCAACTTAATACTGGGCAGTCTGAAGGGATATGTTTTGGTGGGAAGTTGAAGTGATGGTCTTGTGGTCTTATCGTGAGACTGTTAATCAAGAGTTCCATTTAATGTTCTGCAGAAAAGAGATATTGCTGAGGAAACTCAGCAGGTCTGGCAGCATCACTGGGGAGAAAGCAGACTCAACATTTCAAGACCAGTGACTCTTCATCATGAACAGAACGTAGCTGGGAAGCATGATATTTAAGCTGATGACTGGGTGGGAACTGTTAGCAGCTGGGAAACAGTGATAGGTGTGCTAAAGACGGGGAGTGGTGGCGGCTGGGTGGGGGCCGGGAGAGAAATGGAATTGAGAGTGAGCAGACAGCTGGAGGTGGGGCCCGAGAGAGAGAGATGAAAGGGGTAAGCAAACAGAGGGATTATTGATAGTAAGCAAGGACAAAAGAGAAGCTGAATAAATGATAATGAGGGCTAAGAATAGGAGAAAATGGACTGGCCATGCTGAAAACAATCCATTTCATAAAAGGACCAAGGTGTGGGGCTGAGTAAAAACATGGATGGATGGAATCAGACTCTAAAGTTATTCCGCTGCAGGGTCCCCAGGCGGAAAATGAGGTTCTGTTCTTCCAGCTTGCGTTGGGCTTCACTGGAACACTGCAGCAAGCCAGAGACAGATATTGGCCAGGGAGCAGGGTGCTGCATTGAAGTGGCAGGCAACAGGTAGCTCAGGGTCTTTTTTTGCGAGTAGAACGTAGATGTTCTGCGAAGCGGTCGCCCAGTCTACCCTTCGTTTCCCCAATGTAGAGGAGACCACATTGTGAGCAGCGAATGCAATAGACTAGATTCTGGGAAGTGCAGGTGAAGTGTTGCTTCACCTGGAAGGTATGTTTGGGCCCTTGGATACTGGGGAGGGAGGAGGTAAATGGGCAGGTGTTGCACCTTCGCTGGTTACAGGGGAAGGTGCCGTAGGGCTGTGGGGAGGTGTTGGGGGTGAAGGAAGTGTGGACCACAGTGTCCCGGAGGGAACGGTCCCTGCGGAAGGCAGACAAGGGAGGGGAGGGGAATATGTGTCTGGTGGCATCTCACTGGAGATGGCAGATGGCCCTCTGGATGTGAATGCTGAGGAGTGGAAAATGAGGACCAGGGGCCCCTCTCCTTGTTGTGTTTATTTTAATGTTCTGGGAACCTGGGTTTGAATCCTGCCATGGCAGATGGTGGAATTTGAATCCATTAAAAAAAATCTGGAATTAAGAGTTTAATGTTGACTATGAATCTATTGTGGATTGTTGGAGAAACCCATCTGGTTCACTAATGTCCTTTAGGGAAGAAAACTGCCATCCTTACCTGGTCTGGCCTACATGTGACTCCAGACCCACAGCAATGTGGTTGACTCTGAACTGCCCTCTGGGTAATTGGGGATGGGCAATAACTGCTGCCTCGCCAGCGACACCCACATCTTGTGGATGAATAATAAAAAAGGAGAGGCAATACAAATAAGACAATTGTAAAGAGTGTTTGGAAGCAGAGAGAGCAATAATGCACACTTTCTTTGAAAAAGCAGAATAAGTTGAGAGATTACACTAAATCCTTGAGAAAATGATGGAGTTAGACTCCGAGCATTTCTGGGAAGGATGACAAGGTCAAGGAGGGTGCCCAGGAGATTTACCACAACAAGACCAGGGTGGGTGGGAGCCTTTAGTTATATGGAGGACAAGAGAAGCTGGGGTAAGAACTGAAAGGGTTGGATGGGGAATAGGAGTGGGGTAAGGGTCATAGAATCCCCACAGTGTAGAAGCAGGCCTTTCAGCCCATCAAGTTGACACTGACCCTTTTGAAGAGATCCCACCCAGACCCACCCCTATCCCTATAACCCTGCATTTCCCATGGCTAATTCACCCTAGCCTGCACATCTTTGGACTGTGCGAGGAAACCGGAGCACCCGGAGGAAACATGCACAGATATAGGGAGAAGGTACAAAACTCCACACAGTGACCCAAGGCTGGAATCAAATCCAGGTCCTGGCACTGTGAGGCAGCAGTGCTAACCACTGAGCCATTGTGCCACCCCAACAGGATGAAGTAGAGTTGTTGAAAATTGTGAGGTGCTTTAACGGAATTGCTAAGCCAATGCTTCCCAAATCTTTTCGCACTGTCACCCCATTTTGAGATGTGAAAACTGTTGTGAGCCCTTGGTGAGCTGTGGAGGGTGAGGAGATCTATCACAGTAAAGGGGCACGGGGAGGACACTGCTGGCTCAGAGTTCCTGACCCCAAGATCTCAGCTCCTGGCCCCACTCCTGGCATCAATTCCCAATTTGAGTTGCTCCGCACAAAGCAATGGAACAGAAGGATTTGGGAGTTTCCTCATCCAGGAATCACAAAGAAGCTGGCATCCGTGTTCAGCAGAAAATAGGGAAGGGAACAATGTATAAAACTAAGGCGGTGTTCCAACATGATACGAGGCACTAATCAGATCCCAGCTGGAATAGTGTGAAATTTTGATCCCTTATATCTTCCAGTCGTGTATTTCAGTGAGAAACTGTGTCCACTCTCGTGAGGCTAGGTAACCATTTACTGAGGTGACAGAGGGGCAATTGTAGAATGTGGGGTAATTGTCCTCTCAGGTGGGTGATTGTACACACCAGTATTCCCGGTGAATCAGAGTGATCAGTAATGGTGTGTTCAGAGCCTACCCTGGGAACCATGAACCTGAGAAGAAGCCCTGCTGTACATGTTGGAGTCTAAAGGCCTTTTAACCATGGGCTGTTAATCTTTTATAAATACTTTAAACAGAAACAACACTGGTTCTTTCATACAACACCTTCAGACATTTAACAATCTGCTCAGTATGTCCGGCCACTTTTGTACTGATTTTAGTTTTAAATTCTTCACGAAATTTGAAAATTAGCTGCAAAAATTCAGAGAATGAACAGTCAGTCAAAAAGAAATGGGCACATGAATTAGGAACATTGTAAGATTGTGACTGATCTGATTAAATCACATTCCCACCTGCTCCCAGTAACCTTTCACGTTTATTGAGAATAAGGAATAAACAAGCAGAGCCTGTGAGGTACATGGGCTGGTGCAGCCAGAAATATGTTGTCAAGGAAACTAAGAAACTTTACATTTTTGGAATTTGCACCAAGGTGAGGTCTCTGTTCACTATCCAGAATGTCAGGGAGTGCCATCAGCACAGGCTGTAAAAATCACAACTGACTTTTACAGTCCCCAGGCACTGAACATCCAACATTCCCTGTTTCCAGGAAGGTTTTACCATGTTAAAGGGTACTATGTAAATATAATATCTTCTATCGCTTGGAGAGCTGTTGGCCAATCACAGGGTCCTTATTCCTTCAGACTCAGCAGCACCACTGTGGGTTGTGGCCAGTATTGGAACGGCAGGAGGTCCCAGAGAAGCTGAGTTGGTGAGGACCCAAGCTAGGTGAGATTGAGGATCACGGAGATAATCCTATTTGGTGAATGTGGGGTCAGGCGCTTGGTCATAGGAGGGGGCAATCTTCCAGCTGAGCAGGCCATTGATGTTCTGAAGGTGTGCCCTGGACCACAAGCTCCTTGTTTTAGGAGGGACCTCCCATTCTCAGCTCAACCCTAAATCCTCAGGGAGACATCAGGTGACCTGCTCTGGGTGGCAATATGCCCCTCGTGCTGCTGGTAAAGTCCCACTGGGGATGGGGCCAGCCTTTTGGCAGCTATGAATTGACCACCAATGGGTCTCGATGGGCTGAGGACACAGGGCATTTAGTTCCTATCCCATCATCAGCAAGGGACAGCAGATAATGGGCATGACCCCACCCCCCCATGCCATCACAGCTGGTCTCTAAAGGCACTTCCCACCTAGCCCCCAGGATGTAAATGTCTGACCCCTGTGTCAGGGTGAGGCCATGCTACAGGACTGTGTGTTCACAGGGTAGTCTAATCGCCTCTCTTCAAGGACAGCAAACAGACCAGGGTCTGGACAAAGCGGTTACATTTTGGTCACAGCTTGTACGAGGGACAGAGCTCCACAAAGGGATGCGCAGAAAGCAGGAGAAGGAGAATCCTGCTGGATTTTTTTTGTAATTTAATTGCTTAGATTGAAGAAGTTGCCAGCCAATGATGGGATATTCAAGATGACACATTCCATCCCTGGACACAGGCCAGTTCACACTCAGTCACTGTTTGCCACAGGGAGGGGATAACTCTTTCAAATTCACACCCACCTCATCTCTAATTGGTCACATTTAAAGATCCAGTCAGTTGTTTCGATGCCCAACAGTTAGTAATTCCTCTGTATCCACCTCCTGAATTGTCTTGAATATCTTAACTAAATCACCCACTCAATTATTCCAACTCAGGGGAATACAGACCTAATTTATGGAACCTATCCTCATAATTTAACCCTTGCAATGCTGTTATTATTCTGGTGGTTCTCCAGCTCTCCTCCCCCACTCCAAGGCCAGCACAGGCCCTACTGCAAGGTTCAATGCTCAGAAATGATCGCAGTGACTGTAGGTGGGCTCTGAGTATTGAGCTGTACATTCGAAGGATTTGTTCCTCAGTCTGGAGCAGTCATTTAGAATCATCGCTGACGTCAGGGTAGGGTTAGGCTCACAGAAATGCAGGAGAGGAGTGTGTGATCCAATCTGTGTCTACTGATTACAGACAAACCTACAGCAAGTGTATCAGGAAGTCCTGGTGATCTAGAGGCTGCAGCTGAGAAGCAAGGAAATGACGAAGGAGATTCTTCCATAGGTTCAAGAAATGCTCTTCCGATTGGTGCAGTATTGAAGCTCATGTTCATTGTCTGTTCAATACAAATAGGAACAGATTAAGGGCCAGTTACCTGCATGGTCATTCTTTTCAAAAAGGGACAAGTTAACTTTCATTGATACAGTACCCTTTAACATGGTAAAAGGTTCAAGGGACAGGTACGAAAAGGTGAAGAGATGGAGAGATGAGGTAATGGAAATAAGAGAAGGTGGTAGGATGGAGGGATAGAGAGATAGAAAGGTGGAAATGTAGAAAGTAGAAGCAGGAGTAGGCCATTCGGCCCTCCGAGCCTGCTCCACCAAGCAATCTGATCATGGCCAACCCTCTATCTCAGTGCTATATTCCTGCTTTCTCCCCATAGCCCTTAAGGCATTTAAAATCTAAAATGGTACCCTTTCTCAGGTAAGGAGACTAACACTGTACACAAACTGGAAAGATGGAGAAATGGAGAGGTAAAGAAGTGGAGAGGAGAAGAGGGAAAAGCAGAAGTGGAGATGTGTAGAGATACAGATGGGGAAAGTTGGAGGGAAGAGGGGGAGAGAGTTGAGGGAGAATGTGGGACTGGTGGAGAGCTGCACAGGGGGAGAGGTGAGAGAGAGAAATGGAGAGGTGCAGAGAGAGAGGGTGAGGGAAGAAAGGGGGAGTGGGGCAGAGGTAGAGAGGTACAGTGAGGGAGGCTCCAGAGCTTAGGTTCCAGACAGCCACAGGAACAGAGAAATGTGATTAAAATAAGAATACACCAGTGTCCAGAATTAGAGCAGGGTAGAGATCCCAGAAGATCACAGGAGGATATTACAGAGATAGAAAGAGAAAAGGCCATCGAAAGTTCTGAAAACAAGACTAAGAATTTAAAAATTGGGATGTTGTTCAACTAGGAGTCAGTGTAGGTCAGTGATCATGGGGGAAATGGGAATTGATGAGAGTGAGAACACAGTTAGCAAGATTCAGGTCAGCGTTAGGTTTCTCGAGAATAGGAGATCGGAGGAATGTTGGAATTATCAGAAGGTGACAAATAATAATGTTAGAAATAGGAGCAGGAGTAGGCCAATCAATCCCTCCCAGACTGTCCACCACTCCCTAAGATCATGACTGATCTGGCCCTGACCTTAATTCCCTGATAATTCACACATCTATAAACTCCTTTTTTTTTTGTATTCGTTCACAAGATGATGGTGTCGCTAGCTAGATAGCATTTATTGCCCATCCCTAATTGCCCAGAGGGCAGTTAAGAGTCAACCACATTGCTGTGGGTCTGGAGTCACATGGAGACCTGACTAGGTAAGAATAGCAGCTTCCCTCCCTAAAGGACATAAGTGAATCAGATGAATTTTTCCTGACAATCAACACATGGTCATCATTAGACTCTTAATTCCAGAATTTTATTGAATTCAAATTCTGCCATCTGCCATGGTAGGATTCAAACCCAGATCCCCAGAACATTACCTGGGTCTCTAAATTAACAGTCCAGCGATAACACCACTAGGCGGTCTCCTCCCCCATGAGGTAAACTCCATGAGGAAGATATTGGGAGAGATGGCCTCAGTTTCAGTATCTCATGTCTGAACGAGGGAAGAAACACACTGATTAAAGTGAACTCACCACTCTGTGCTGACTGTGGGCTAATTGGAGACCGTGGAACCAGGTGACTCCTGCTTCTGCCTCCCTCTACCTCCCACCCACCCTCACCCACCCTCACCTCTCCCTCAGTCTGGGCTGAGGATGAAGGAACCATTGTTGGGTCAGTTTGGAGTCCATCACTGTATAGACCTCCAGAGGGCTGGCTGTAGGTGCTCGGGAAATCTAGTGTTTCCTCCTAATACTTAAAATCGATGTTTATCCTTTCAAAGATATAGACCCTTTGGTCCAGTTTGTCCATACCAACCAGAAATCCAAAATTAGTCTAGTCCCATTTGCCAGCATTTGGCCCATATCCCTCTAAACCCTTCCTATTCATGTACCCATCCAGATGCCTTTTAAATGTTGTAATTGTACCTGCCTCCACCACCTCCTCTGGCAGGTCATTCCGCACACGCACCATCCTCTGCGTGAAAAAGTTGCCCCTTACGTCCCTTTTAAATCTTTCCCCTCTCACCTTAAACCTATGTCCTCGAGTTTTGGACTCCTCTACCCTGGGGAAAAGACTTTGGATATTCAGTGTATCCATGCCCCTCATGATTTTATAAGATTCTATAAGGTTACTCTTCAGCCTCCGACATTCCAGGAAAAATAGTCCCAGCCTATTCAATCTGTTCCTATAGCTCAAACCCTCCAGTCCCAGCAACATTCTTGTAAATCTTTTCTGCACCATTTCAAGTTTAACAACATCTTTCCTACAACAGGGAGACCGGAACTGCATGCAGTGTTTGAAAAGTGGCCTAACCAATGTCCTGTACAGCTGCAACATGACCCTCCCAACTCCTATACTCACTTCTGCTGGGACACACTGGATAACCACACCAACACAAGGATGAGGATTTCAGCAGGAAGTGAGCTTTGGTAGGTAAGCTATCATGTCATATTTGGGAGATTGAGATGGGCAGCCCGAGCAATTGCACACAGATGATGCCCATCCTAAGCACACAGATGACACTCTAATTGCAAACAGTCTGGTTCAGCTTCAGTTTCCAGGAGTAGGAATAGCTAGGATCACAGCTTAGTGCAATAGCCCCAGGTTCCTGTCTCTGTTCACACCCGCCCCCCTTTAAAATTCTGCTATTTATCGTCATCTCCACTTCACACCACAATTCCCTGCTTTAAATTCCATCTGTCGTGTGCCTGCCCATTTCACCAGTAGGTCAACACCCTCGTCAGCTCCATTACCATTTCCTCACGGTTTACGACATTGCTGAACTCTGGATCTTCTTAAATCATAGTGCTATCTAGAATACGATGCGTTCGCTCTCTTTCAGTGCCCCGTCCCCAACAACATCATCTCATCTCCGCTTCTGCACATCAAACCCCCATTTCCTCGCAATGTTTCTCACTAATGTGGCCCAGAAATGAAATGGTTCTCCTTCAATAACAAGTGAGTAGCCACTGAGTCAGTGTACAGTGCTGCTGGTACAGACTGTGCCTTTTGGGTCTAACATGGACAATCAGCAAATGTAGACTGTTCTTTCCCCTCTGTGTAAAGATGCATTCCCGGTGAGTCATCATGTTATTGTGGCAGTAGCCATTCTGATGCTGCACAGAAATTACAACAAGGAGTTCCAACCATCCTGGATCCATCATTATCTTCCACATCAGCTTTTTTGAAACCTATGGACCTTCCTTTTTCCCATATCCCTTCCTGGTGTTAATGTCAGATTGTCCACATCTCATCACCACCAGCAATTTACACACTAAATCAGCTGTTCAGAGCTTTCCCTTCATTGTACAAACATGTTATTACCTACCCAGGGTTATAAACATTGTAAAACCTGCAGATTATAAGCACTGTGATCTCCAGACTTGGCATGGCAAATAGCGACAGGAAACACCACCATCAAAATACAGTATCAGAGGAACACCGGAACAGGAGTAGGCCATTCAGCCCTTGAGCCTGTTCCACCATTCACTGAGATCGTGGCTGATCTGTGGCCTAACTCCATATACCTGTTTTGACCCAAATCCCTTAATACCTTTTGCTTAAAAAAACTTATCTGGCCGAGATTTAAAATTAGTAACTGATCCAACATCCACTGCCATTTGTGGAAGACACTTTCAAACATTTACCGCCCTCTGTGTGTGTAAGTGCTTTCTAACATCACTCCTGAACAGCCCGGTCCAAATTCTCAGACTATGCCCCTAATTCTAGAATCCCCAACCAGTGGAAATAGCTTATCTTCATCTACCCTATCTTTTCCTGTTAATATGTTGAAGACTTTGATCAGATCACCCATTTGCCTTCTAAATTATGGAGAAAACAGGCCTCATTTGTATGATCGCTCCTCATAACCTAACCCCTGAAGCCCAGGTATCATTGTTGTAAACTGAATGTAAAAGACATCCCCCTATCACACATACGAATGTAGCCTGGAATTAACATGAACCTACCTAGTCAGCCATCAGGAAGGAGCTTCTCATTTTGAAGGCACATTCTTATTAACAGGAAGGAGGGAAAACAAAAACATGAATGAATACTTTTTGACAGTACATTGTTGCTTGGAATGACTGAACTGACTGGATTTTAGGTTCCTTACCGTATAAATCTGATTACCATCAACCTGGAGATCATCTGGTTTCTGTAACCAAATGGAATGATATAAATTACTGAAGAATAGAAACTCTGAAGGGACAGTAAGGTTGTAAAATAGGTACCCCAAGGTCTTGTTACGACTCTGCAGTTTACACACTGCCACATGTACAATGTCCTTCACTGGTTTGGACTGATGTTTAGCATCTTGTTTGGCATTCACAAGAACTACAAACTTGTCCAATTTTCACCTGGTTTGAAGATTTGGAGGATTGTGACTGAGTTCTCCAGCAAAAGGATATCGAAGAACTGGACACAGTACAGGAAATATTAAAATGTCAGGGGGAGGCAATGGCCTAGTGGTATTATCACCAAACTGTTAATCCAGAGATCTAGATAATGTTTTGGGGAACTGGGTTCGAATCCCACCATGGTGGAATTTGAGAGATCGTAGGAACTGCAAATGCTGGAGAATCTGAGATAACAAAGTATCTACACCTTGTTATCTATGGTGGAATTTGAATTCAATTTTTAAAAACCTGGAATTAAGAGTATTGCCAATTGTTGGAAAAACCCATCTGGTTCACTAATGTCCTTTAAGGAAGGAAATTGCCATCCTTACCTGGTCTGGCCTACATGTGACTCCAGACCCACAGCAATGTGGTTGACTCTTAACTGCCCTCTGGGCAATTAGGGACGGGCGATAAATGCTGCCCTGGACAGTGACACCCTCATCCCATGAATGAAGAAAGGATAAAAAAACAGATGCTTCTCAAAGCTTACAAATATAATCACCAATAAATCCAACGGAGATAAATGCAAAATGCAAAATCTAAAATAACTGGAGAAACTTAGCAGGTCTGGTAGCATCTGTGGAGAGAGAAACAGAGTCAACAGTTTGAGTCGAATTTGGCTCCTCTTTGGAACTGAAACGTGATTGTGTAACCCCAGTGGTGAAGGTAGAAGAAACATGTTAGTTCATTTCATTTGTCATTTCCTTATCTACAATTGGCTCAACATTCTCACTCTCTCTCGAAGACCAGCATCTACTTTTATTTACATTTTACCTTTTCATACCTGTCAAAGCATTTGTTATTCATTTTTACATTTCTAGCTAACTTCCTCTCCTACTCTAATTTTTTTCCTTCTCAATAACCTTTTAGTCATTTTCTAGCATTCTTTATATTCTGACTAATTGTCTAACCTGTCGCTCACCTTTGTATCGTCAGATGATGTTTCCTTAGGTTTGATGTTTTCCTTAAGTTCTATAGTTAACTACAGGTGGTGTGTTGGCCCTTCAGAATTTTTCTTTATAGCCGGAGTACAATTATTCTAGGTATACTGAAATATCTCCCTAAGTGTCTGCCACTTAGACCAATAGAGACAATCTCCTAGCCTGGGAGTCTAGTATGCTAGCTCACATCAGAAATCTCTTGGCTTTCTGGCCACGTAAGTTCCCTTTATTTCAGTTTGGAATACTAGTCTTGGATCCACTCTTCCTCCATTCAAATCAAATGTAAATTTCAATCTCTTTTTGCAACGTTTCTGTAGAGAGGTGCCATGACTTTGAGATATTTAATTCATCACTAAGGCCCATCGTCCTCCCGGGATCTGACTCTTTGTTTGAGCAGGTTAAGAGCTATCTGTAGGAAACCTGGGGTCACTGTTTCCTGTCCTAATCACACTGCCACATCCCATCCTTTTTGTGGGATGTGGGTATCACAGCATTTACTATCCGTCCCCATTTACCCCTTGAGAAGGTGGGGATGAGCTGCCTTCTTGAACTGCTGCAGTCCATGTGCTGAAGGTTGACCCACAATGCCCTTAGGGTGGGAATTCCAGGATTTTGACCCAGCAACACTGAAGGAACGATGATATATTTCCAAGTCAGGATGGTGAGTGGGTGCAAGCTATCTACAAAATACACTGCAGAAATTCACCAAAGATTCTCAGGCTGCACCTTCCAAACCCACGACCACTTCCATCCAGCAGATACATGGGAACACCACACCCTGTATGCATCTGCTGCCCTTGTCCTTCTAGATGGAAGTGGTCGTGGGTTTGGAAGGTGCTGTCTGAGGATATTTGGTGGATTTCTGCAGTGCATCTTGTAGATAGTACACACTGCTGCTACTGAGCATCGGTGGTGGAAGGAGTGGATGCTTGTGGATGTGGCGCCAATCAAGCGGCTGCTTTGTCCTGGATGGTGTTGAGCTTCTTGAGTGTTGTTGGAGCTGCCCCCATCCAGGCAAGTGGAGAGTATTCCATCACACTCCTGACTTATGCCTTGTAAAGAAAAAGGTTGGGACTATCAAATGCTGTGAATCTTGGCTATCGAGGGATATACAGCACTGGATTAAGAGAAAAAGGGTGGTTTATGGCAGATACTGAGAGCTCAAAACAGCTAAAGCCCTGGAGGAGTGTAGAATGTGCAAGAGAGAACTTGAAAAGAAGATTAGCAGAGCTAATGGGGAATTGAAAAGGTACTGACAGGTAAAAGAAAGGAAAATCCTGAGTTTTTTCAGGTATGTTCAGAGTAAAAGGATGACTAGGGGAAGAGTGGGGCCCATGATGTGCCACATGGTAATAGGGGAGGCAATGGCCTAGTGGTATTACTGCTGGACTGTTAATCCAGAAACCCAGATAATGTTCTGGGGACCTGGGTTCGAATCCCGCCATGGCAGATGGTGGAATTTGAATTCATTAAATATCTGGAATTAAGAATCTAATGATGACCGTGAATCCATTGTCGATTGTCAGGAAAAACCCATCTAGTTCACTAATGCCCTTTAGGGAAGGAAGTCTTCCATCCTTACCCGGTCTGGACTACATGTGACTCCAGACCCACAACAATGTGGTTGACTCTTAACTGCCCTCTGAGTAATTAGGGATGGGCACTAAATGTGCCTAGCCAGCAATGCCCTCATCCTGTGAATGAATTGAAAAAAAGTATGTGGAGCCAGAGGATGTAGGTTGGGTTATTATGTATCACTAGTGAGAAGGACAATGTGGGTACAGAAATCAGGGAGAAGGACTGTGATACTATTAAAGAGATCAACACAGACAGAGAGGAGGGTCTGAGTGATTTGGCAGGCTTAAAAGTAGATAAATCTCCAAGCTGGATGAAATGTATCTCAGGCTGGTGAGTGAGACAATGGAGCAAATAGCAAGGGCACTGGTAATAATTTTCAATTCCTCTCTGGCTACAGGAGAAGTGCCAGAGGACTGAAGGATAGTCAATGTGGTACTGTTATTCAAGGAGGGAGCAAGGATAAACCAGGGAAGTACAGGTCACTCAGTCTATCCTCAGTGATGGGAAACTATTGGGAGCAATTCGGAGGGACTGAATTAATTTGTACTCGGTGAGGCAGGGATTATTTAATCACAGACAGCGTGGTTTTGTTAAAGGGAGGCCATGTCTAACAGACTTGATTGAATTTTTTGAAGAAGTTACTACGTATGTAGAACACGGCAATGCTTTTGACATAGTCTGCTCGGATTTCAGCAAGGCTATTGATTAAGTCCCATTTGGGAGACTGTTGTAAAGGTCAGTGCCCATGGGTACCCAAGGAAATTTGGCAAATTGGATCTACAGCTGGCCAAGTAGCATCAGCAGAGGGTGATTGTCAGGGGGTGACTATGTGATTGGAAGCCTGTGTCCATGGGATTATACAGGAATCAGTGTGACGGCCCTTGATGTTTGTGGTTTGTATAAATGATTTAGACTTGAACTTAGGAGGGTTGCAGTAGGTTCACAGATGAAACAAAAATTGTTGGAATGGTCAATAATGAAGAGGATAACCTTAGATTGCAGGAGGACATAGACAGGCTGGTTCATGGACTGATCAATGGCAAATGGGATTCAATCTGGGTAAGTGTGAGGTAATGCACTTGGGCAGGACAAACAAGGTAAGGGAATAGATGATGAACTGTAGGACCCTGGGAAACACCAAGGATCAGAGGGACCTTGGTGTACATGCCACCAGTCTCTTACGGAATCAGGACAGCTTGATAAAGTGGCTAAGAAGTCACACGGTATACCTGCCTTTATTAGAGTTTAAGCACAGGGAGGTGATGTTGGAACTGTATAAAACACTAGATCACTGCTAGAGTATTGTGAGCAGTTCTGGAATCCACATTATAGGAGGGGTGCGATAGCACTGGAGATGGCACAGAGGGAGATTTACCAGGATGGTGCCTGGGCTGGAGAGTTTCAGTTACGGAGAGAGACTGGACAGACTGGGGTTGTTTTCCTCAGACCAGAGACTGAGGGGGGACATGATTGAGATGGATAACTTTATGAGGAATGTAAATAGGGTAGACAGGAAGGAATTTTTCCCCTTTGATGGAAAGATCAATTACCAGGGGCATAGATTTAAGGGAAGAGTCAGGAGGTTTAGAGAGGACATGAGAAAAATTTTTTTCACTCAAAAGATGGTGAGAATCTGCAACTCACTACCTGTAAGGATGGTAGATGTAGAAATCCTCATAACATAGAAGATGTGCACTTGCAATGCCAAGGCATACAAGGCTATGGACCAAGTGCCAGGCAATGTGATTAGAGTAGTTAGGTAGCTGTGTTTGACTGATGTGGACATGATGGGCTAAAAGACCTTTCTTTGCGCTGTAGATGTCTATGGCTTTATGGTAGGCAGGCTTTGGGGAGTCAGGAGGTGAGTTACTCACTGCAGTATTCCCAGCCTCTGACCTGCTGTTGTAGCCAGCGTATTGAGGCAGCAAGTCCAGTAGAGTTTTTGGTCAATGGTAACCACTGATGTTGTCAGGGGTATGTGCTTGTTTGAAGCCCTGCACAGCTCTGACATTACTAAGGGAAGGTTGGAACACTGTGACCAGTGGTGAGGTGAGCAGAGACCCATGTCTTTGACATTCACAACCAGGAGCGAGGCAGTACTGAGGTGAAGCCAAAGGTCAATAAAACTTCATCTCACATCTACAACAATGAAGCTGCAGCAACAGAGAAAAGCAGGAAACTGACAGCTTGATTCCACTTACCTTTGTGTTTCTGAAAGCAGAAATGTTTTCATATTCCAGCATCAGACTGTGTTCTCCAGTATGATGGGGAGAAGCTACAAAAAAGGACAGTGTTACTTTACTTTTTAATGATGCACAAACAGACTAAAGTAATCACCGGAGGACAGTAATAAACATTTCTCATTGTATCTGATTCTGGTGTTCACTATCATTTAACTTCAATATATGGTTCCATTCACTCAAACCAGATTATTCTTTACTAATATTGTTTCAGTGAAAGATTGATTTCCACCTACAGGATGACCGTTTCCCAGACCGAGTAATTCTGATACAGAAGAGAAGAGCAGCTCCAGCGATGAGAGTAACTCCCAGAGCAGCTCCCACACTGATCCAGACTATCCACAGCTCTCTGTTCATTCCCACTGCAGGAACTGGAAACAGAGAAAGGAGGGGCATTGTGAGCAAACAGAGCTTCCTGTTAAATTATTTCAAATATTGGATATTTTCCAGCTATCTCACAATGTGAGGCCTGATGCAGATTGTGTTAACAGCACTTACCCATGACAGTCAGCTGGGTTCCATTTCCACTGATATCTCCCCACACTTTACAGTAATAGACCCCAGTGTCACTGGGCCACACGTTTGTGATGGTCAGAATGAAGCTGTTATTGGAGGGGTCTCTGGAAGACTGGAATCGCTCAGTGAATCCTGGGCTCCATTGTGTGATGTTCCTCACATTATGTGTTAAAACCCACTCTGTGTTATTCTCTGGTCGCTCCCGGTACCAGTGAACATCGGTGCGTGTCACTGCAGCGTTCCTCATGGTGCACTGTAACTGGGCAGTGTGTCCCTCTGTGACACGTTCTGGGATCAGAGACTGGAGAAGGTTTGGGGCATTTGCACCTTTAAGGGAAAAAGCATCAATGAAGTTAGAATGTGGTCTGATAATCAGTGTTGTCAGTTTTCAAAGGCTCAGTCTTAACAACACAAGATAGATGTTGAACAGTGAGCTAAGACTGAACCAGTTGTGTTAGTTTGTTACTGAGTCAGATCAACAAAAACTTCTTTGTATATAGCACCATTGATGATAGGAAATGTCCAATGGAGCATCACAGGAGCTTTATAAAACAAAGTTTGGACCAGCTGTCAATGGGAAGAAAAGACAACTGGGGATGCTTAAGGGTCCAGAATTAAAAGAACGCAAATATTAATATTATCCTTATGGATGGTGGAGATCAGAGGTGGGGAGGAGTGAGGTCAGGAAGGGATTGAAAAATAAAGTCATGAGTTTTGAAATTAAGATATTTTTAATGCAATCCAGGAATGAGGGTGTTGCTGGCTGGGTCAGCATTTATTGCCCGTTGCTAGTTGCCCCCTTGAGAAAGTGGGGGTGAGCTGCCTTCTTGAACCACTGCAGTCCACCTGCTATGGATTGACCCACAATGCCATTAGGGAGGGAATTCCAGGATTTTGACCCAGTGACATTGAACGAACGGTGATATATTTCCAAGTCCGGATGTTGAGTGGCATGGAGAGGAACTTACAGGGGATGGTTTTCCCATGTATCTGCTGGGATGTTGATAGTGGGAGGAGTTCAATGATGGTGATGCCTTTCACTGTCAAGGGGGCGTGATTAGATTGTCTCAAAGTGGAGATGGTCATAGTCTGGCATTTGTGTGCTGTGAATATTACTTGCTACTTGTCAGATCAAGTCTGGATATTGCCCAGGCCTTGCTGCATTTGGACATTGATTATCGTTGTCACATATACTGAGATACAGTCAAAAGTGTTGTTTTGAGTACACTACAGGCAGATCGTACCAAACAGCGCATTAGGGTAACAGAACAGAGTGCAGAATATAGTGTCACAGCCACAGAGAAGGTGCAGAGAGAGAGAAATCAGAATTAACATTTGAGAGGCCTGTTCATAAGTCTGATAATAGCAGGGAAGAAGCTGTTCTTGAATCTCGTGGCCATGGGCCTGGACTGTTTCAGTATATGAGGAGTTGCGAATGGTGCTGAACATTGCGCTGTTGGGCGAACATCCCCATTTCTGACCTTCTGATGGAGGGAAGGTCATTGATGAAGCAGCTGAAGATAATTGGGCCTCGGACACTATCCTGAGGAACTCCTGCAGAGGTGTCCTGGAACTGAGATGACTGACCTCCAACAACCACTTGTCAAGTATGACTCCAACCACTGGAGAGTTTGCCCCCAGTTCCCTGGTTAATATTGAAGTCTATACCATTCTGTACTTTATTGCTCAGATTTCCAAAAGCAAGACATGTGTGAGCCACCATGGCAATTAATTAATTATGTGATGACATTATTTGAGATAAAACTTACACAATATAAAAAGTACATACCGGTTACATTTAGTCGAGTTCCTTTTCCAAAAATATTTCCCCAAATCCCACAGATGTAGGTATTAGTGTCAGTGAGCTTCAGGTCTCTGATGGTCAGAATGTAGCTGTTACTGGTTACATTTCTGGAAAGCTGAAACCGCTCAGAGAATCCTCTCGATCGGTAAACACTGCCGCCTGCAAAGTGACTCAATAAGATGTGCGTCTTGTTTTCTGGGTGGTACCAATGGACAGTGTAATTCTCCACTGTGTTATTTCTGCTGCTTCTCTCCAAACTGCACTGAAACTGCACAGCTTCACCCTCTGCTACCTTCACAACTTTCGGGAACTGAACGAGAATGGGACGTGTGTCAGGACCTGCGCACATGAAATAACAGAAGATCAGAAAAGCCAAGAGCCCACAGGAAGAAAATTGTGTTACTGCTCGGATCCCACACGGTTACAGCTGCTCAGCACATGGGCGTGATCCAGATTCGGGACACTGATGATTGGCCAGCTCCGACAGATAAAGCTGGGCTCGTTTTGAGGGGGAACAAAAACAAAGTTGCTAGAAAAGCTCAGCAGGTCTGGCAGCATCTGTGAAGGAGAAAACAGAGTTAATGTTTCAGGTCCGGTGACCCTTCCTCAGAGTTCTGAGGGGGGTTCTCCAACTGTCTCAGGTTGAAACAGAGCAAGCTTCCTAAACTCATAATATGTGATCTCCTCTTGTGAAGGGGGAATGGAAAACATAAGATTCACCCCCACACTCCAACCCCAAGACTGACAAACTTCACAAAGCAATTTCACGTGGAGCTAGGCAAGGTTTTTCAGAGGATCAAAGATTCCAATCATTTGTGTGTCTGTTACACTTGAAATAGTGAAAATACTGTGTTTACCACGCCCCCTCACCATCCATCAAGCCCCACACAACCTCACACCCTGTGCTTTCGGAATGAATCAGCTGGTCCCTGTAGCTGTGACATTCTGGGGTTGTCAGTGAAAGGACTTGAAGATCAAATGCGGGAAGGAGATGTTCTGGTGGTGTTATCGCTAGGCTATGAATTCAGTGACCCACCTAAAGTTCTGGTGACCCAGGTTCAAATCCCGCCATGCCAAATGGTGCAATTTCAATTCAATTAAAACAAAACCTGGAATTAAGAATCTACCGATCACTAGGAAACCGTTGTCAGAAAAACCCATCTGGTTCACTAACGTCCTTTAGGGAAGGAAATCTGCCATCCTTACCTGGTCTGGCCTACATGTGACTCCAGACCCACATCAATGTGGTTGACTCTCAGTTGCTGTCCGAAATGGCCTAGCAAGCTACTCAGTTGTACCAATCGCTACAAAGACTCAAAGAAATGAAACTGGACGGATCACCTGGCATCGACCTAAGCACTGGAAAAGACAACAGCAGAAACAGCCCTGTCGACCCTGCAAATTCCTCCTCACTAACATCTGGGGGTTAGTGCCAACATTGGGAGAGCTGTCTCACAGACGAGTTAAGCAATAGCCCAACATTGTCCCTAAGGTACAATTCTGTGAGTATGACTATGTCCCAGACACTACCATCACCATCCCTGGATATGTCCTGTTCCAATGGCAGGGCAGAGCCGGCGGATGTGGTGACACGGTGGTATATAGTTGGGAGGGTTTGCTCTGGGAGTCCTCAACATTGACTCTGGACCCCATGAAGTCTCATGGATTCAATTTTAAAGATGGGCAAGGAAACCTCCTGCTGATAACCACATACCGTCCTCCCTCAGCTGATGAATCAGTACTCCTCCATGTTGAACAACACTTGGGGGAGGCATTGAGGATGGCAAGGGTACAAAATGTACACTGGGTGGGGGATTTCAATGTCCACCTTCAAGAGTGGCTCGGCAGCAGTACTACAGATCAAGCTGGTCGGGTCCTACAGGCCATAGCTGCTAGACTGGGTCTGCGGCAGGTGGTGAGGGAACTAACAAGATGGAAAAACATATTCGATCTCATCTTTACCAATTTGCTGCAGTTGCATCTGTCCATGACAGTATTGGTAAGAGTGACCATCGCACAGCCCTTGTGGAGACAAAGTCCCACCTTCACATTGAGAACAACCTCCATCGTGTTGTGTGACACTATCACCGTGCTAAATGGGACAGACTTCGCACAGATCTAGCAACTCAAGACTGGGCATCCATGAGGTGCTGTGGGCCATCAACAGCAGCAGAATTGTACTCCAGCACAATCTGTAACCTCATGGCCCGGCATATCCCCCACTCAACCATTACCATCAAGCCAGGGGATCAACCCTGGTTCAATGGAGAGTGCAGGAGGTCATGCCAGGAGCAGTACCAGGCATACCTGAAGATGAGGTATCAACCTGGTGAAGCCACCAAACAGGACTACCTGCACGCCAGACAGCGAAAGCAGCAAGACAGAGCTAAGTGATCCCACAACCAATGGATCAGATCTAAGCTCTGCAGTTCTGCCACATCCAGTTGTGAATGGTGGTGGACAATTAAACAACTCACTGGAGGAGGAGGCTCCACAAATATCTCCATCCTCAATGATGGAAGAGCCCAGCACATCAGTGCAAAAGATAAGGCTGAAGCATTCGCAGCAATCTTCAGCCAGAAGTGCCGAGTGGATGATCCATCTCGGCCTCCTCCAGTGGTCCCGAGCATTACAGATACCAGTCTTCAGCCAATTCGATTCACTCTACATGATAGCAAGAAATGGTTGGAGACACTGGACACTGCAAAGGCTACGGGGCCCTGACAACATTCCAGCAATAGTACTGAAGACTTGTGCTCCAGAACTTGCTGGTCCTCCTAGCCAAGCTGTTCCAGTACAGTTACAACACTGGTATCTACCCAACAATGTGGAAAATTGCCCAGGTATGTCCTGTACACAAAAAGCAGGACAAATCCAACCCGGCCAATTATCGCCCCATCAGTCTCCTCTCGATCATCAGTAAAGTGATGGAAGGTGTCAGTAACAGTGCTATCAAGCAGCACCTGCTCAGCAATAACCTGCTCAGTGACGCCCAGTTTGGGTTCCGCCAGGGCCACTCAGCTCCTGATCTCATTACAGCCTTGGTTCAAACATGGACAAAAGAGCTAAATTCCAGAAGTGAGGGGAGAGTGACAGTCCTTGACATCAAGGCTATATTTGACCAAATGTGGCATCAAGGAGCCCTAGCAAAACTGGAATCAATGGGTATCAGGGGGCAAATGCTCTGGTGGTTGGAGTCATGCCTGACATATAGGAAGATGGTTGTGGTTGTTGGAGGTCAGTCATCTCAGCTCCAGGACATCTCTGCAGGAGTTCCTCAGGGTAATGTCCTCGGCTCAACCATCTTCAGCTGCTTCATCAATGACCTTCCCTCCATGATAAGGTCAGAAGTGGGGATGTTTGCCGATGATTGCACAATGTTCAGCACCATTCGTGATTCCTCAGATACTGAAGCAGTCTGTGTTCAAATGCAACAAGATCTGGACAATATCCAGGCTTGGGCTGACAAGTTTTTTCTTTATTCATTCACAGGATGAGGGCATCACTGGCTAAGACAGCTTTCATTGCCCGTCCCTAATGGCCCAGAGGGCGGTTACATGTCAACCATATTGCTGTGGGTCTGGAGGCACATGTAGGTCAGACCAGGTAAGGATGGCAGTTTCCTTCCCTAAAGGACATTAGTGAACCAGATGGGTTTTTCCAACAATCAACAATGGATTCATGGTCATCACTAGATTCTTAGTTCCAGATATTTATTGAATTCAATTCCACCATCTGCCATGACAGGATTTGAACCCTGGTCCCCAGTACATTATCTGGGTCTCTGGATTAACAGTCCAGTGATAATACCACGAGGCCATCACCTCCCCAGGTGTGTGATGGAATACTCCCCACTTGCCTGGATGGGTGCAGCCCCAACAACACTCAAGAAGCTCAACACCATCCAGGACAAAGCAGCCGCTTGATTGGCACCACATCCACAAGCATCCATTCCTTTCACCACCGACACTCAGTAGCAGCAGTGTGTACTGTCTACAAGATACACTGCAGAAATTCACCAAAGATCCTCAGACAGCACCTTCCAAACCCATGACCACTTATATCTAGAAGGACAAGGGCAGCAGATACATGGGAACACCACCCAAGTTCCCCTCCAAGCCACTCTCCATCCCAACTTGGAAATATATCACTGTTCCTTCACTGTCACTGGGTCAAAATCCTGGAATTCCCTCCCTAAAGTCATTGTGGGTCAGCCCACAGCACACAGACTGCAGTGGTTCAAGAAGGCAGCTCACCCCCACCTTCTCAAGGGGCAACTAGGGACAGGCAATAAATGCTGGGCCCAGCCAGCAACACTCACATCCTACAAAATGAATTAAAATAAAAGATCTTGAGTTCTGAAAAAAGTGTCACATCGACTGGAAACATTAACTCTTTTTCTTCCTCAGCCCCAGATGCTGCCCAACCTGTTGAGTTACTCAAGGACCTGCTGCTCTGTTTTAGTGTCTTTGTTCCCAGTAAATACCATTCCCTCTCCTGCTCAATCCCTACTACTGATTCCACCCTTCCAGTACAGCAGGAGGGCTTGCACCTGCAGGATCTTGGCTGCATTTAATTTTCTCGTACGCGATGAGGACGTCACAGGCAAAGCCAGTACTTACTGCCCTCAGCTCATTGACCTTCTGGGCCTTGTCAGAGGACAGTTAGAGTCAACCACATTGCTGTGGGTCTGGAATCACATGTAGGCCCGACCAGGTAAGGATGGCAGTTTCCTTCCCTGAACATAGAACATAGAACATTTCAGCACAGTACAGGCCCTTCGGCCCTCGATGTTGCGCCGACCTGTGAAACCAATCTGAAGCCTATCTAACCTACACTATTCCATTATCATCCATATGTTTATCCAATGACCATTTAAATGCCCTTAAAGTTGGCGAGTCTACTACTTTTGCAGGCAGGGCATTCCATGCCCTTACTACTCTCTGAGTAAAGAGACTACCTCTGACATCTGTCCTATATCTATCACCCTTCAATTTAAAGCTATGTCCCCTCGTGCTAGCCAACACCATCTGAGGAAAAAGGCTCCCACTGTCCACCCTATCTAATCCTCTGATCATCTTGTATGTCTCCATTAAGTCACCTCTTAACCTTCTTTTCTCTAATGAAAACAGCTTCAAGTCCCTCAGCCTTTTCTCATAAGACCTTCCCTCCATACCAGGCAACATGCTGGTAAATCTCCTCTGCACCCTTTCCAATGCTTCCACATCCTTCCTATAACGCGGTGACCAGAACTGTACGCCATACTCCAAGTGCGGCCGCACCAGAGTTTTGTACAGCTGCAACATGACCTCATGGCTCCGAAACTCAATCCCTCTACCAATAAAACCTAACACACCATACGCCTTCTTAACAACGCTATCAACCTGGGTGGCAACTTTCACTGATCTATGCACATGGACACCGAGATCTCTCTGCTCATCCACACTACCAAGAATCTTATCAGTACTCTGTATTCCTGTTACTCCTTCCAATGTGAATCACCTCACACTTTTCCGCATTAAACTCCATTTGCCACCTCTCAGCTCAGCTCTGCAGCTTATCTATGTCCCTCTGTAATCTGCAACATCCTTCCGCACTATCCACAACTCCACCGACTTTGGTGTCATCCGCAAATTTACTAACCCATCCTTCTATGCCCTCATCCAGGTAATTTATAAAAATGACAAACAGCAGTGGCCCCAAAACAGATCCTTGAGGTACACCATTAGTAACTGAACTCCAGGATGAACATTTCCCATCAACCACCACCCTCTGTCTTCTTACAGCTAGCCAATTTCTGATCCAAACCGCTAAATCACCCTCAATCCCATGCCTCCGTATTTTCTGCAATAGCCTACCATGGGAAACCTTATCAAATGCTTTACTGAAATCCATATACACCACATCAACCGCTTTACCCTCATCCACCTGTTTGGTCACCTTCTCAAAGAACTTAATAAGGTTTGTGAGGCACGACCTACCCTTCACAAAACCGTGTTGACTATCCCTAATCAAATTAGTCCTTTCTAGATGATTATAAATCCTATCTCTTATAATCCTTTCCAACACTTTACCCACAGCCGAAGTAAGGCTCACTGGTCTATAATTACCAGGGTTGTCTCTACTCCCCTTCTTGAACAAGGGGACAACATTTGCTAGTCTCCAGTCTTCTGGCACTATTCCTGTAGACAATGATGACATAAAGATCAAAGCCAAAGGCTCTGCAATCTCCTCTCTAGCTTCCCAGAGAATCCTAGGATAAATCCCATCCGGCCCAGGGGACTTATCTATTTTCACACTTTCCAGAATTGCTAACACCTCCTCCTTATGAACTTCAATCCCATCTAGTCTAATAGCCTGTATCTCAGTATTCTCCTCGACAACATTGTCTTTTTCCTGTGTGAATACTGACGAAAAATATTCATTTAGCACCTCTCCTATCTCTTCGGACTCCACGCACAACTTCCCACTACTGTCCTTGACTGGCCCTAATCTTACTCTAGTCATTCTTTTATTCCTGACACACCTATAGAAAGCTTTAGGATTTTCCTTGATCCTACCTGCTAAAGACTTCTCATGTCCCCTCCTGGTTCTTCTTAGCGCTCTTTTTAGGTCCTTCCTGGCTAACTTGTAACTCTCAAGCACCCTAACTGAGCCTTCACACCTCATCTCTACATAAGCCTCCTTCTTCCTCTTGACAAGAGATTCAACTTCTTTAGTAAACCACGGTTCCCTCGTTCAACCACTTCCTCCCTGCCTGACAGGTACATAATTGTCAAGGACACGCAGTAGCTGTTCCTTGAACAAGCTCCACATTTCAATTGTGCCCAGCCCCTGCAGTTTCCTTCTCCATTCTATGCATCCTAAATCTTGCCTAATCACCTCATAATTGCCTTTCCCCCAGCTATAATTCTTGCCCTGCGGTATATACCTATCCCTTTCCATTGCTAAAGTAAACGTAACCGAGTTGTGGTCACTATCACCAAAGTGCTCACCTACCTCCAAATCTAACACCTGGCCTGGTTCATTACCCAGTACCAAATCCAATGTGGCCTCGCCTCTTATTGGCCTATCTACATACTGTGTCAGGAAACCCTCCTGCACACATTGGACAAAAACTGACCCATCTAAAGTAATCGAACTATAGTGTTTCCAGTCAATATTTGGAAAGTTAAAGTCCCCCATAACAACTACCCTGTTACTTTTGCTCCTATCCAGAATCATCTTTGCAATCCTTTCCTCTACATCTCTGGAACTTTTCGGAGGCCTATAGAAAACTCCCAACAGGGTGACCTCTCCTTTCCTGTTTCTAACCTCAGCTCATACTACCTCAGTAGACGAGCCCTCATCAAACGTCCTTTCTGCCACCGTAATACTGTCCTTGACTAACAATGCCACACCTCCCCCTGTTTTACCACCTTCCCTGATCTTACTGAAACATCTGAACCCCGGAACCTGCAACAACCATTCCTGTCCCTGCTCTATCCATGTCTCCGAAATGGCCACAACATCGAAGTCCCAGGTACCAACCCATGCTGCGAGTTCACCCACCTTATTCCGGATGCTCCTGGCGTTGAAGTAGACACACTGCAAACCACCTTCCTGCCTGCCGGTACACTCCTGCAACCTTGAAACCTTATTCATGACCTCACTACTCTCAACCTCCTGTACACTGGAGCTGCAATTCAGGTTCCCATCCCCCTGCTGAATTAGTTTAAACCCTCCCAAAGAGCATTAGCAAATTTCCCCCCGCCCAGGATATTGGTACCCCTCTGGTTCAGGTGTAGGCCATCCCGTTTGTAGAGGTCCCACCTACCCCTGAATGAGCCCCAATTATCCAGGTATCTGAATCCCTCCCTCCTGCACCATCCCTGTAGCCACTTGTTCAACTGCTCTCTCTCCCTATTCCTTGCCTCACTAGCACGTGGCACGGGTAACAAACCAGAGATAACAACTCTGTTTGTTCTAGCTCTAAGCTTCCACCTTAGCTCCTTGAATTTCTGCCTTACATCCCCATCCCTTTTCCTACCTATGTCGTTGATGCCTATGTGGACCACGACTTGGGGCTGCTCTCCCTCCCCCTTAAGGATCCCGAAAACACGATCTGAGTCATCATGGACCCTGGCACCCGGGAGGCAAAACACCAACCGCGAGTCTCTCTCGTTCCCACAGAATCTCCTATCTGTCCCCCTAACTACGGGATCCCCAATGACTCGTGCTCTCCTCTTCTCCCCCTTTCCCTTCTGAGCAACACAGACAGACTCTGTGCCAGAGACCTGTACCCCATGGTTTACCCCTGGTAAGTTGTCCCCCCCAGCAGTATCCAAAACGGTATACTTGTTTTTGAGGGGAACGGCCACAGGGGATCCCTGCACTGTTTCCCTGTTCCCTTTCCGTCCCCTGACTGGAACCTACCTACCTTTTTCCTGTACCTGAGGTGTGACTACCTCCCTGTAACTCCTCTCCAATCACCCCCTCAGCCTCCGGAATGATCCGAAGTTCATCCAGCTCCAGCTCCAGTTCCCTAACGCGGTTTCCGCGGAGCTGGAGTTGGGTGCACTTCCCGCAGATTAAGTCAGTGGGGACACTAGTGGTGACCCTTACCTCCCACATTCTACAGGAGGAGCATACAACTGCGCTAACATGCATTCCCACTGTTCTGAATTCCCAAACAGACTATTGAAAAAAAAACTAGTAACCTTACCAAATCAGCGCTCAGAACCTTTTGTTTTGGTGAGAGGAGGAGGATGGGTGGGAGAAGGGCATTCGTGAACCAGGATTATGGTTTTAAACCAGGAATGTTTCTCCAACAGCATCATGTTCACCATTACTGCATCTGTTCCAGATTTTAAATTGCACAGCTCTGCTGCAGTGGGATTTTATCCATTGCGTTGGGAGTACTAGCCCAGATCATTGGATTAATAGTTATACCAACCATTCCCACACAGTGGATTTGGAGCCAGGGAGAGGCAGGGGGCTGGGAAAGGTGGGTGGGAACCTGTGTTGGGCTCAAAGTGGGGGATAGAGCCACACAGACTGCTTACAGATGACTAACATGTCAGGTCAGTGATGGTCAGCTTATAGTTTCCAACATAGCCCATCACTCATCCATTCACTAATCAGCTCCTTCCTCAGCAAGCATGTCCCACTAATTCACTGGGTATCTACAATACACCACTAACTCACACTCCCTCACACTGACTGCTCACACTCCCTCACCCACTGACTGCTCACA